GCCCACTTGTACGCCCCCGACTACAGACGGCCCACTTGTACGCCCCCTATTACAGACGGCCCACTTGTACGCCCCCGATTATAGATGGCCCACTTGTACGTCCCTGATTACAGATGGCCCACTTGTACACCCCCGATTACAGATGCCCCACTTGTACGCCCCCGATTACAGACGCCGCACTTGTACACCCCCGATTACAGACGGCCCACTTGTACACCCCCGACTACAGACGGCCCACCTGTATGTCCCCGATTACAGACGGCCCACTTGTACACCCCCGACTACAGACGGCCCACTTGTATGTCCCTGATTACAGACGGCCCACTTGTACGCCCCCGACTACAGACGGCCCACTTGTACGCCCCCGATTACAGACGGCCCACTTGTATGCCCCCGATTACAGAAGGCCCACTTGTACGTCCCTGATTACAGACGGCCCACTTGTACACCCCCGACTACAGATGCCCCACTTGTATGCCCCCGATTACAGATGCCGCACTTGTACACCCCCGATTACAGACGGCCCACTTGTACGTCCCTGATTACAGACGGCCCACTTGTACACCCCCGATTACAGATGCCCCACTTGTATGCCCCCGATTACAGATGCCGCACTTGTACACCCCCGATTACAGACGGCCCACTTGTACACCCCCGATTACATACAGCCCACTTGTACGTCCCCGATTACAGACGCCCGACTTGTACACCCCCGATTACAGAAGGCCCACTTGTATGTCCCTGATTACAGAAGGCCCACTTGTACACCCCCGATTACAGATGCCACACTTGTACGCCCCCGATTACAGATGGCCCACTTGTACACCCCCGACTACAGACGCCCCACTTGTACACCCCCAATTACATACGGCCCACTTGTACACCCCCGATTACATACGGCCCACTGGTACGTCCCCGATTACAGACGGCCCACTTGTACACCCCCGATTACAGATGGCCCACTTGTACACCCCCGATTACAGACGGCCCACTTGTACGTCCCTGCTTACAGACGGCCCACTTGTACGCCCCCGATTACAGACGCCCCACTTGAGGCTGAGATTCTTCTTCTTGTTCCCAAAGTCCCTGCTTCTTGTGCTGACATTCTATCCAGAATGCCAGCCCCTCTGATTCGTGTGGCTCATTGAAATACAATTTTTCCATGTTATCCTCAAACGGAGTGGCTTACTATCATTTACGAGGTCGGTATGGTAACCGACATGTACATTCCTCCTGACTAGTCACAGCAGTTTGATACAGCAATGAAATTAACGTAAGTCAGTTGGTCCCATGTCAGTGAGTTTCTGTCCCCAGGAAAAGGCAGTACAAACGGCCACTCAAGATGGCAGCAGAGTAGCATGCTCCAGCCGGAGTTCATCCACTTTTCTTCTTCTTTCTCTTCTGTTTTTCTTCCGGCTAGTGCTTTTTTCTCCTTCTTCTTCTCCCTTTTGACTCCTGGCCTCCAGTGAGGAGTAGTGATTCCTGGCTGTGACGGGCGATGATCTCCGGCCTCTCCCAGCCTCCAGGGATGATTCCCAGCGTCTGGCGAGCAATGACTCCTGGTGACGATTCACAGCCTCCGGTGAGCAATGATTCCCGGCCTCTGGCGATGACACCCTGGCCTGATGTGGCGGCAGCCTGTAGTGACCTCCTGGTGTGGTGTCTTCCTGGCCTTGTGCAGTAACCTCCCGCAGCGGCCTCCCAGCACGGTGTGGCATCTTCTTGGCCTGGCGCAGTGGCTTCCCACAGAAGCCTCCCAGCGTTGTCGTGGTGACCTCCTAGCATTGGTATGGTGACATCCTGGTGTTGGCATGATGACTTCCTTCATTGGCGTAGTGACCTCCTGACATTGGCGTGGTCACCTCCCAGCGTTGGCATGATGACCTCCTGGCATTGGTGTGGTGACCTCCCTGTGTTGGCATGGTGACCTCCCTGGGTTGGCATGGTGATCTCGAAGCGTTGGTGTGGTGACCTCTCAGCATTGGTGTGGTGAGCTCCCAGCGTTGGTGTGATAACTTCCCAGAGTTGTCATGTTGACCTCCCAGTGTTGGCATGGTGACTTCCCAGCGTTGGCATGGTGACCTCCCAGTGTTGGCGTGGTGAGCTCCCAGCGTTGACATGGTGACTTCCCAGCATTGGCGTGGTGAGCTCCCAGCGTTGGCATGGTGACCTCCCAGCATTGATGTAGTGACTTCCAGCGTCGGCATGGTGACCTCCCAGCGTTGGCTGAGCTCCTGGCATGGTGCAGCAGCCACCTCCCGTGGGGGCCTCATGTCATGGCGTGGTGACCTCTGGCCTCCTGAATGGCCTCCTGTCATGTGGGCCTGGTGGTGTAGTGTGGCGACCTCCCAGCCTGGCACAGTGACCTCCCGCAGCAGCCTCCCCGGCATGGCGTGTCACTAGCGCGGTGTGGAGCTAGGGCCGGTGCGGACTGGAAGCTAGGTGCCAGCATGGACTGCTCTACTGAACACTTCTATGTCTTGTCTAAAATCTTGTAACTAAAGAAGCTGTGCCCAGGTACTTTGTATCTAAGTGGGTGTTGTAATTAGCGATGTATAAATTTTTTACTATACTCATTGAGTAGATGTGATGATAAGGGCTATTCTATTCTATTCTATTCTATTGGTTATTGTAATTTCCCTGTTAATTGAGCTGACCCCAGAAGCTGGGTTGTTTCAAAATCAGTTCTACCAAAACTCCCATCTGTTGTTCCATCTGAAACCTCACAGCATTGCCTCATTGACACCTATTTAATATAATTAATCAAGGTAAATAGCTTGCATATCCGTCTGGCCTGATCCAGTCTGACAGTGAATGCTTTAAAATTCTTGGCTTACTATCTCAGTTCCCTTCCCAGCACACCATTGGCTAATCTTGCTTTTAGCAGCCCAAAAGAGCTGTTATTTTATCTGTAGGGGACATCCCCCTACCTACAATATTAACACTAAGCCTTTACACCACACAAATAACACTTGAAGACACAACTTTAACTTTTTCACAAAGATTAGCAAAGCTTTCATAGAGTCTATTTCCTCTTGCTCTCACATGTTCCACCTGACTTTTCAGTGTAGTATCCAGTGTACTTTCCGTTTCTTATTCAAGTAACATACAGGATCTAATACCTAACCTATTGCTCTGAAATTCCTCCCTCTAATCAGGCCAAGGTTGTGAATTTCTAGCATGACACAAATAAAGACTTTCAAACGTACTGTAATATGTTTTGCAAGCAAACTTAACCGATCATTATTTTCCTAACTAATTGAGTGAATAAGTCACTTCAGTTAACCACTGTCAGGTGAATCTAGTGCAGCATAGCCCAATATAGTTCCAATCTTTGGATCAGTAATAGTTCAGTATTGTACTTTCTTTCTTTCAGCAGAGCTGCTTTTAACAGCAGTGTTCAGCAAATATCCGTCTTGTTTTAGCCATAATCTCAATTGAAATCTTCAGATCCTGTTGCAGTCTCTCTCATGCTGTGGTCTGCCTGTTGTCTCAGGAATTCTGATCACCTCATCAAGATTAGGAAATCTTGTTGTCCCTTCTGGAGCCAATGATTTTCCCCTTGGACGATCAGGTGCTTGCTATTGCTATCTTTGACTTGAAATTCTGAATTGCTAAATGTTAGCTTCTCACATGAGGTTCATGTGCCATTATGTTGCTGTCTTCTTGATACTTGTTGAAATTTTTTTGTCAAGCAGTACTCCTTCTGGCACAGTCACACTGTTTTCTTTCTTGCCAATGATAGTATTCAGCTTACAGTAAGATAGTAGGAGCAAACTTTTATGTACTCTACTGTTCCAACAAGAGTCACGAACGACTTCTTCCCTGCTGTTATTTGACATCTGAATGGACCTCTTAAATATCAATTTTAATGTTTATCTCACTCTCTTTGCACCTTCTCTGCAGTTGTAACATTGTATTCCTTGCTCTGTTCTATTACCCTAATGCATTTTGTATGGTACGATCTGC